GAGGAAGGAAAGGAGGGGAGAGAGTAAACTTGGTCCCAGCAGTGGGAGTCCTGAGGGGAATCGGTGTAGGGTGAGGAGCTCCCCGGGAATAAAAGTTTGCATTCATTCAACAAGTTTTCAGTTCAGTCCAACTGCTGTGTAGTAGAAGGTCTACTGGGTGAGAGGGCGGAGAGTTCTGTCCCCTGGGAGAAGGCTCATGGAGGCTCCCTCCCACCTTCACAGCAGCGGGAAGGCGGGGTGAGTGTGGTGGGAAACAGTGCAATTTCCTCTTTTTACTGTCACAGCGATAGTGCAAAAATCCAGAATGGATGTCCTCCTTATAGCCCTCCTTGTCGTGCCGCTCATCCTGGGTAAGTCCACTTCTCAGCCTGAGCTTTTGTGCCAGGTCTTTTGTTCTAAACGGGATGAGAGAAAAAGATGTAAAGAGGATGTGAGTGGGCATTTCAGCAGGGAGGGATCATTCTTTCTCAGCTGCTGGAGTCCAGGGTTGGGGGCAGAGCAGAGCTCTGGAAGGTGGAGCCAGGAAACCAAAGGCAAAGCAAAGCAAGTCTTGTCAGAGAGGAGACTGAAGGAGGATGGAGCCCTGAAGAGAGTGCCTTCGACAATCCTGAACTAGTAGTTCTGTTTCTGTCACCACACAGCTGAACAGGCGGGTGAGGAGCAGTAAAGGAAGGAGGTGGGTTCTCAGAAGTCCAGGGACTGAGAGAGCACAGAGTGCCTCCTTCCCACAAAGAAGGGGGGAAAAAAACCTTCTATTAGCAAAGACTTAAGTGTGAGAGCCAAGTCTGATGGCATATGCCCAGCTCTTGGGACAAAGAGGGAAAAGGGGGAATCAGAAACTCAAGGTTATCCTTGACTACACTGTGAGTTCCTGACTAACCTCAGATAAATAATAATAACAATAACCCCTCATCCAGGTGTGTTGGCCCGTAACTTTAGCTCCAGCACACTGGAGCAGGCAGGCAGATTTGAGTTTGGCAGCCAGCCAGTTAGGTTAACAAAGTGAGTTCCAGGACAGCCAGGGATACACAGAAAACCCCTGCCTCAAATAATAATAATAATAGTAATAATAATAACCCCCGAACCAAAAAATAAAACCAAGCTTGGTATGGTGGCTCACTCCTTTAATCCCAGCACTCTAGAGGCAGAAACAGGAAGGTCTCTGTGAGTTCTAAGCTAGTCTGGTTTCAAAATGAGTTCTAGGCTGGTTAGGAATACATAGCAAACTATGTCTTTAAAAAAAAATGGGGGGGGGGCATGACATAAATATAGATTGGCTTAGGATAGTAGAAAACTGGACAGGTCCCAAGGGCAGCTTGGCTCCTTCCCTTCTTTGTTCTCTAGCCTGCCAGGTGTCTCTCATTGTTTCCCTCCCCTTTAAATCCTGTGTCCTTAGTCTGGGTTTGCAGCAATGTGTTTAGCAGAAGGCCTAGAATTCTGGATTCAATCACCAAAGTCACACATTTTTAGCTCTGGAAGTAAAGAAAAGCTATGATGGGCATTTGGTCCAGCTGACTCAATTTTAAGGATGGTGATAGAAGGCTGGCCGTGGTGGTGCACGCCTTTATTCCCAGCATTTGGGAGCCAGAAGCAGAAGCAAGCAGATCTCTGTGAGTGCCTGCTGTACACAGTGAGACAGCCAGGGCTCTATGGAGAGACCCTTTCTCATAAAGGGTTTGGGGTGGGGGTCATATGAAATGGACTGTTCAAAGTTCTGCTTAGTTAACAGTGAAGCCGGAAATAAACCCAAATCTAAAATCTTGAGAGTTTGTTTTGTTTTGTTTTTTTGTGAGAGATGCTGGTAAGATTTCTCCCAAGTATAAAAAATTGGGAGGATATGGAACCTATATTCCTGGGAGTTCTGTGCTGAAAGCACAATTCTGATCTCACTGCAGCTAGGAGCCAGGAGACTGGGCTGGCTGAGGTACAGCGACAGGGAAAGGAGAGGAGGCAGAAGGAAGGACGGCTGGGAGGTCTGGAGATCTGAGATCAACTCCATGTGTGCTGTTGCTAAGGAGCTCCAGATGCTTTTGACCTATAGCTCTTGTCCCTGCAGGACAGGAATACGAGGCTGAAGAAGAGCTGGAGGAGGGTGATTACTATCAGGTGATATATTATTACACAGTGACCCCTAACTACGGTGCGTATGTGAAGGGCTCCAACTTTTAGTGGGGTAGAGCGGATTTGGGAACGACTTAGTTCCAAGATTGTCCTTCACTTTGCAATACAATAGCAGATTTAGTCAAAATTTTGGCTGTGACCAAAAGCTATTAAGACTCTTGGTATTCTTTCTCAAGCTCATGATTTTTGAAAAAAAACAAAAACAAAAACAAAGTAAGGATTTTATGTATATGAATATTTTGTCTGCATGTATGTCTGTGCATCATGTGTGTGAGGGCACTGGATCCCCTGGGAATTGCAGGTGGTTGTGAATGCTAGGAACTGAACCCAGGTCTTCTGGAAGAGCAGCCAGTACTCTTAACCATGGAGCCAGCCATCTCTCCAGCCCCTTAAGCCCATTATGTTTTGTTTCTTTGGAATATGGTTGGGACAATTTGAAAGTTTTCCAATTTGTAAATTATTTGATATAAATTATGCATAATGTGGAGAAGTGTGTGTTTGTACATGAGCAAAGGAGCCATGGAGACCAGAGATGTCTGACGCCACTGGGGCTGGAGTTATGAGGGGCTGAGAGCTACTCGGTGTGGATTCTGGGAACTGAACTGAGGTCCTCTGAAAGAGCAGTCTATGTTCTTCACTGCTCAGCCAGCCCTCTGGCTCTAGTGACAAACGTTTTGACACTAGAGCTAACTAGAAGTAGGTTACAGTAACACATTTTACAATGTTAGGTAGCTGAAGTATTCTGAGCATGAAGTTTCTTCCCCTTTCATTTTTGTTTCTTTCTTTTCCTCTTCCCCAGATGACTATAATGTAAACTTCACTGTTGATTACTCTGTGTTTGAGTCAGAGGACAGGTTGGTAAGTGACTTCTGTATCTAACAGGGTCAGGGCACATGACAGTCAAACAGAAACTGGGAAGAACTGAAATGTGGGGCTGGATATGGTAGTCCAGGCCTGTAATCCTAGCACTTGGGAGTCACAGGCAGGAGGATTGCCCTGGGCTGAAGGTCAGTCTGATTTTACATAGTAAGTTACAGTCCAGTCAGGACTATATTATTACTGTCTCAAGAAAAAAACAAAACAAAACAAGAAAGAAAGGAAAATCTGATAGAAAGTAGGATGCAGGTCCCAAACAGACCTGTTAACTAGAGCTGGGAGAAGGAAGCTACGACCTAGTGGGCTAACGCGCGAAGGAGGGTAGCCAAGGCACGTGTTGAATGGAGCATGCACACAATCCATGCCATCACTGGGCTGGACAATCCGAAAACTTAAGTGTTAGTCGTATCGGGTTGGGGTGGGGAAGGAAGCTTGCTTGTAGGAAAAGATTAACAAAACAAAACAAAACTCTAACTAGAGCATCTGTGGGATGTTGAACGGAAGAAATGATAACTGTTTCCCCAACCTACCGAGGGCAGAACAGGTTGAATAAGGAGGTAACAACAGAAGCAGCAGAAACTACCATTAGTCTTCATACAGAACTTGTGGACCACCAGAATCCTGTAACCACGAAACCAGTGACAACGGAACCAGTGAGTCATGTGGAAAGTAAAGAGGTGGGTACTAAGCCATCTCTTACCCAGACAGTTCCAGGGCTAGTGACCTGGAGTAAAGAGAGGGCAGATTATGGTGGAGGGGGGTTTTCTTCTGCTGTTAAGACCAGCTGGGTGGTGGTGGTGCACGTCTGTAGACCCAGCGCTAGGGAGGCAGAGGCAAGCGGATCTTTGAGTTCGAACCCAGCCCAGGACAGCAAGAGCTACACAGAGAAAGCCTGTCTCAAAAAACTAAACAGCAACAACAAAAAATTGATAAAACCAATTCAGGGAGGAAAAAATTTATTTCATCTTACAAATACCAGATCACACTTCATCACTGAGAGAAGCCAGGGCAACGACTTAAGACAGGAACCGAAGCAGAGGCTTAAAGATTTATTTATTTATTTATTTATTTATTTATTGTACATTAGTGTTTTTCCTGCATGTATGTCTACGTAAGGGTGTCAGGTTCCCTGGAACTAGTTATAGACAGCTGTAAGCTGCTATATGGGTGCTTGGGGACTTGAACCCCAGTCCTCTGGAAGAGCAGTCAGTGCCCTACCTACTTAGCCATCTCTCCAGTCCCTCAGCTCTCTTTTTTTTTTTATACCACTTGACCACAGTGGTCTGGGCCCTCCCATATCAATCATTAATCAAGAAAATTCCCTTAAAGACTTTCCCACAGTCCAATCTGATGGAGATTCCTCAGTTGAGGTGCCATCTTCCCGTGTGTGTGTGTGTGTGTGTGTGTGTGTGTGTGTGTGTGTGTGTGTGCGCGCACGCACTGAGGACAGAGGACAACTTTAGGGTGTCAGTTTGTCAGGCTCAGGCTCAAATGTATGAACTTTTATATGCTGAACCATTTTGCCAGTCCAGATTTTGTTTTAGATACAACTTGAGACTAAGGAAGCTTTTGCTTGCTTGGTGTCCTGAAGGACAAACAAAATTAGAAAGAATAGTTACTATAAGAGCAAAAGCTGCCCATGGAAGGGAAGCAGAACAAATAGCTATTTTTAGACTAGTGTATGACAGAAGGAAAGTCTACAGAGGAAAACAATATGAATCAGAAAAAATGTACAGGGTTTGGGCTGCACAGGGAATTCAAGAATTAAGTTTTCACCACGTGGGGTTGGGGGACAGGAGGCTTCTTTGTAGGAGAGGATGAGGAGGAGAAAGCCTCTAAAAAGGCCATCTATGAGGGTGTTAGATAGGATTGAGACCAGCCTGAGGGACATTGTAAGACTCTCTTTTTGAAAAAAATGGCTGGGCATGGTGACATATACTTTTAATCCCAGCACTCTAGAAGCAGAGGCAGGCAGATCTCTGTGAGTTCAAGGCCAGCTTGGTCTACACATCAATTTCCTGGACAGCCAAGGCTACACAGATCTTATCTTAGCAAAATTTTTTGAGCAGTGAGATGGATCCTCAAATAAAGGCACTTAGCCAGGAGGTGGTGGTACAAATCGAATCTAGGACAGCCAAGGCTACACAGAGAAACCCTGTCTCAAAAAAAACCAATAAATAAATAAATAAATACGTAAATAAATAAAGGCACTTGCTGACAAGCCTGAAGACCTGACCCAGGTTTGATCTGTGAGAACTGCTTAATAAAAGGATAGAGAGATTTCAAGAGTTGGCCTTTTACCTCCACACATGTGACATCGCATGCCCTCCCACCTAAATAAATGTAAAAACATTACACAAGGCTTTTCATTTTTGCATAATAATATTATGTACATTGAGTTAGGGATAAATCTACAGAAGTGTGAAATTTCAGGCTGGGCTTTGGGCCAATAAGGAACGTGGCAAGTCCTCCAGCAGGGAGAAGATGATGGAATCAAAATTTCGGAAACTCTTCATCTGAATAGTGGAAAGGTTGGTACTGTCTCAGTACTGTCTCAGGAACAGCTGTTAAAGGGCAGAGCTAGGTGGTCTAATTTGAGAGGAGAAAAATAAGGCTAGAATAAAATGCCTCTCTTCAGTGATAATTTTATAAACAAGGAGAGTTAGAAACTTACAGACTTTAATCATGTTTGGAGAGGATCAATGAGATGGCTAAAGATGTCTGCCAGCAAGATGCTCAGAATTCAATACCCAGGATCCCTGTGATGGAACGAATGAACCCACTTCATGTTTTCCTCTGACCTCCACACATATGCACTCATACACATACAAACACACAGAGACACACAGACACGCACACATGTAAAATCTTATGAATGTGTTTGGGAAAATGGATGACCAAAATGGAAGCCAGAGTGGTTTAGGAGGGTTTAACTAAACCAGAGTGGTTTAGCTATAAGTTGGACAGTCCTGTGTGGGTGTTCTGAAGGCAGCTGAAGTGGATCAGTAGTACAGACCTGCCCTAAGGGCAAAGTTAGAGTTGTGAAAGCAGAAAGGCCAATGACTGAGTCAGCAGAAGAAGGGAAACCAACCAAGGAAATGTAAGAGGCAGGTGGAGAGCCAAGTTTGAGTTACAGGGACTAGAAGAGAAAGCTTGGTGTAATCAAGCAAAAGCTACCAAGAGCCCAAAGAGGAGGAGGCATGGATGCTTCCAAAGGAAAGTTAAATTTTATGGAATGAGTTAGTACAGAGTGCAAACTGGGTGTGGTATCCAAGCATCCAAAGGCAGAGACAGTTAAGTCTCAAATTAGAGGCTAGCCTGGATATAAGTAATAGACCTATGTCAAGAATAAGAAATTGTGTGTAGTGGCACACAAGCCTTTAATTCCAGCACGAGGGAGGCAGAGGCAGGAGTAGCTCTGAATAGTTCCAGGATAGCCAACTGGGTCTTAAAAATAAATAAATAAATAGATAGATAGATAGATAGATAGATAGATAGATAGATAGATAGATAAATAAATAAATAAATAAATAAATAAATAAATAAATGAAGGAACGAACGAAGGAAGCAAGCAAGCAAACAAACAAGTGATGTAGCTTTTTATAAAGGGCAAAAGTAGTCTACATGCAGCTGAATGCAAATGGAAGGAGCCAGTAGGATTGGCAAGCAGAAGGCAAGCCTGACAGTAAATATACACATTTTAAAATGTGTATAGGTTTGTATAGACAGCAAGCTCCTCTTAAGTCTCACTTATACCCCCTCAAAGCACCTACCATAGTGACTGGCACAATGTCATGCACAAAAGGTAAAAAATTAAATGTCATTGGGAATTGTGGCCGCCCAAGTAGGAAGAATTCTTACTGTGAAAAGGAGGGTAGGATCTCCTTTGAGACCAGAGGTAAGGACAAAAGGCAATCATGTAAAGAGGTGGCTATCTTTCTGGGTGGGGGTGGGTGGGGATTGCTAGGAAGGGTGACAATGACCTATTGTGTGTGTGTGGGGGGGGTTGTTTTAGCAGAGTACAGAACAGAATGATGCCATGTCCAGTCTGCAGAGTCCTCTGTCCTGTCTTCTGTTATGGACCCTTCTTCAATCAGGGATGCATTTTCTGTAGCAGGTAGGAGGGTAGCCACTGGCTTTGGTGGGGACGCTGTGAAGTCATTCATTCTCGGTCCTAGATGCTCAAGGAAGGGTCACATTTAGAAATGTCTAATTATCTGATCTTAACAAAACTTGGAAGATGTTGAAGCGAAGACTTTTGTAATGTCATTTTTAAAATTCCTGTCTGGGAGGACTTCTAAGACCTCCCGGGAGAGAAGCATGCTGAATGGAGAAGCCTCTTCCAAGCTCCCAACAAGCCTGGAAAAATCAGAGCCGGTTCCATTCTGGCCAGGTTTAAAGTTATGGCAGGTGCCAGAGGTCAAAATGGGTGTGCTACAACCCTGCAGAGCCAAGAGGCAAAGTTCAGCAGGAGGAGGGAGGAGGCAGGAGGGGCACATCCCTCTCGACAAACAACGCCTCAGAGTGTGGAGTCTGTGCGTTTGCACAGAGATGGGAACAAGGAGACTTCCTTGGCTTCATGCTCATTTGAGGGATTTATTGTTTTTAATTATGTGTCCTGTAGGGCAGGGGTTTGTTCACGTGAGTATGGGTGCTCGGGAGGCCAGGGCACCAGAGTTCCTGGAATGGGAGTTACAGGGGTCTGTAAACCACCTAGCATGGCTGCTGGGAATTGAACTTAGGTCTTATGTAAAAGCAGCATGCCCTCTTACACTGTGCCAGCCACCCTGATCCTGTTTTGTTCCCCACCCCCAGGTGAGAGAAGGCTGCTCTGATTCTTCGGACTAGAGTTTGGCAAGTTTTGGATGAAGAATAAAAAAATTAGTTTTACCTACTTCTTAATGAGTGTCTCTTCTTAAGTCAACACTGAAGTGCACACCAAGACTTGGAGGCATGAAGGGCAGATTAGAAGAAATAGGAGCCAGGCAGGGGTGGTGCACGACTTTAATCTGAGGCAGGTGGATCTCAAGTTTGGGGTCAGCTTGTTCTATAAAGTGAGTTCCGGGGCAGCCAGAGCCACACAGAGAAACTCTGTCTGGGAGCGAGTGGGGAGGAGGGGTGAATTAGATGTCAAATAATTAGAAGAAATTATACCCTATAAATAAATCTAAAGTTTGGGGTAGAATAGAGAATATTCACAGATAACAGTTTTATTCTGAGCCTGTAATTCTAATTCTATTTTTGTTTCTTTCTTTTTTTTTTTTTATTTTTGAGGGTCCCACTGGGTCAGGCTGGTCTTGAACTGATTTCCTTGCATTCAACCCCTAGGATTACAGCAGACACGAGCCACCACACTCAGATTAATTAATTATATTTTATTTGATATTATATTGAAACATGTGTTTGGGCAAAGAGTGCTGAGGCTTAATTCAGAAATCGTTTTTCTTTTTAAAAAAATGATCACGTTGCTAAATATAAGTCAAAAGTATTAGAATTTATGTAAAATCATCACCCATTCTCTAAACCATGACTTCTAGCCCTGTCCAACCTTTTCTTTTAGTAAGATTATGCGTAAAACACAACAACAACAACAACAAAAAACGAAGTCTGTTCTCCCGACCCTACTCAGAACTAGAGTGCCCCCTTGCGATCCCTCTGGGGTCGTCCGAGTCCTGTTTGCTTTAACGTCTGCGGTGACTCCGGACTCTCCTTCCTCAGCGTTTCCCCCTTCTCAAAGGGACAGACAGACTGACGCAGGCAAAGCCATAGCCTGGAGGTGGGGATCACCTTAGCCTGCTCCGGGCCGAGCGGTCAGGGACGCTCGGCCTCGCCCTCCGGGGTCTCGGCGGGCCGGCGTCCGACCTGGGGACGCGCCTGGCGGGTTACGTAAGGCGCGGCGGGGGCCGGCGAGGACGCGGCGTTCCGGCCGCGGTCCCCACCCTGCGCGCCCAGCCCGGCGGCGCGGAGGGCGGCCGAGCGCGGAGTCACGAGGGCGGCCGCCGGCGGGGAGCGGAGGCCGGCGCCCCGCGTCGGCGGTCACGCACGCTGCGGACACGCGCTGCCGGCGGCCTCCACGTGCTGCGCCCGTGCGCGGAGGCGCCCGCCCGGAGGGGCACGCGGCCCGGGAGACGCCCCCGTGCCGAGGCCCGGCTCCGCACGCCCCGGCCGCGCGGGGCCCAGCAGCGCCCGTCCTATTTAAGGCCGCGGGCTCCACCCTTTTCCGCCCCTTCCTTCATTTTTCACTCTTTTTCCATCCTCCTTTTTCATCACCGGAGGAGCCGCATGTACGGGCGGAGCCGCGACTGCTTCCCTCCCAGCCAATCGCCACTCGGCTGCCTCCCTATTGGCCGAGCCCCCGCGGGGCGGCAGCAAATGGGATGCGAGGGTCTGGATCTGGCGTCACGTGTTGCCGGCAGGCTATCCAATGAGAGCACGAGGTCTGTGTACGCAGGGGGAGGCACGTGCAGAGCCGCACGTGTCCGGGAGGGGGAAGGGGCGGGACCCAGGGAGCGAGGCGGAGGTGGGTCGGCCAGACCCGCGCAGACTGGGACGGAGCTGGTGCGGGCCGGGGCTGCCCCGCGGAGCAAGCGGAGCGGACGCGACCCGAGCGTCCCGGGGACTGACCCGGAGCGGGTGGGCTGGCCAGGCCGCAGATCGGGGCGTCGGGAGGTGTTGCATCACCTGGCAGGCGCGGCGTGGACGGGCCGGCTGCGGTGCCCCTGACGGTGAGGGATGCGAAGGCGCGGGGGACGCTTGTCTGTGGGTTCGGGTGCGCGGACGAGCCTGGAGCGGGTGGCGTTTTCAGGTCGGCAGGCTGGCCGTGAGGTCTGGCAGGGGACAGCCCAGAGCGGCGGGCGGAGGGCAGGGAGTAGAGGTGGCATCCTCGGACGCCAAGGGAGACGGGCTGCGTGGGGCCGGGAGCCCTGGTGGGGGCGGGCTGCGTTGTGAACGCGGGTGGGAAGGCAAGGTGGTGGGGGGGGGGGGTGTTTTCCCGTTTCTGTGGAGAACGGAAAAAACGTGTTACCCTGTTGAGAACGCCCCAGTCTCCCAGTCTCTTTCCTAATCCTTCAACTGATTTCAAACTCCCTCGCTTTGCTGTTCAGTTTCAGGGTCTGGTCCTCGGCACCACGGGATCTGCTCTTCAGCCCCTGCTCCTGGAGCGATGGATTCTCCATCCAGCGTTTCTTCTTACTCCTCTTCCCCTCTTTCGCCGTCATTTTCCACATCCCCTGTGAATAGTGACTTTAGCCTCCCCTCTGATAACGAGAGGGAGGGCAAGGACGCCCGTGGGCTCAAGCCAGACGCTGTCGAGGAGAGGGGAGGTTCCCGGCCCACTCCGGGCCCTATCCGCTGCCGACATCGACCCAGAGTTTCTAGTAACCAACGCGCAGCGTCTCATCTGGAACAGCGGGGACCTGGAGCCAAAAGATCAAGAGACGGTGAACTGGAGAACAATCTAACCGTCCCGGGATGTACCACAGAGGGAGATCTACTCTTTGCTCAAAAGGTAAGGGAAAGCAGAGGGGACAGCAGTGCGGTGGCAAACGCCTAATTAGTGGATAAGGCCGGTAACAGGACAGCAGAAAAAAACGACTTCTGGCCGTGGCCTGTGCTGTTTTTCCACAGTGTAAAGAACTCCAAGGGTTCATCCGGCCCCTCACAGACCTACTGAACGGACTGAAAATGGGTCGCTTTGACAGAGGTAATAACCTGCTTAATTACATTTCTGGGGGGTGGCCCTCCCCCCTCCCAGTGAAATCTTAACTTTCTCCTTGGGGTGTGGGCCATTCCCTGCTTGCATCTGTAACTTAATTGCTTCACGTGAATGCACTTGAACCCCAACTATCTTGTCTTTGATTTACATTTACCTCAGTCTCCACCTTTGCTTTTTCTCTCACGCTGGGAGTGACCCGCTAGAGGGGCTCTTTGCCACATTCGGCAACCCTCTCACCACCCTCTCTTTCACCCTAGGATTAAGTAGCTTCCAACAGAGTGTGGCCATGGACCGGATCCAGCGGATAGTGGGTGTTTTACAGAAGCCTCAGATGGGGTAAGTCTCCCTCATTCCTTTCTCTTCTTCTCAGGATATTATTGAGGGAGGCCTAGAATATTCTCCATTTCTTTTTGCATACTTAATGACTTTCTTTAAATCCTTTTTTCACAGAGAGCGTTATCTAGGAACCTTGCTGCAAGTGGAGGGGATGTTAAAGACTTGGTTTCCCCATATAGCTGCCCAGAAGTCCTCTGTAGGAGGCAGCAGGCATCAGACAAGCAAGGTAAGAACCTAAAAACCAAGGAAGAGATGGCAGAATAATCAAGAAATGAACTATGTCCCAGCATCTAGGAGGGAGAGGCAGGCAGATCTCTCTGAGTTTGAGGCCAGCTTGGTCTACAGAGTGAGTCCAGTGACAACCAAGGTTACATAGAGAAAGCCTGTCTTTGGGGGATGGTGCGATAAGAATGGACTATGCATGTTTCCATGTTTTTTGTCCCCCAGGGAAGGGAAGGGCTAACTGTGCATTACTGTGATTTTCAGAGTTGGCCTAGATGTCAGTTCTATTTTGTTGGGGTCCCACAAAATTTAACCCTGTTTTGTTGAAGCTTACCTGCTTTCTGCAGATACAGAAGGCTCTTCTTAATCAGGCCAAGTGACTCATACAGGAAGATGCCTCAGTTTTTCTCTCCAGAGCCTTTCTTCCTTGCACCCCTGCAAACCTTTTTCCTTTTCCTTTTCTGACTCCTGTCCAAATATCTTTAACCAAACCTTATGTGTCTATAGTTGGTTTCACTTTCCTTTTTTTTTTTTTTTTCTTCTCATTTTCTTTGTTTCAAAACAGGATTTTCCTGTGTATCAGCTGTCCTGAAACTTGCTCTGTAGACCAGGCTAGCCTTGAACTCAGAGATCTGCCTACCTCTGCCTCCTGGACGCTCAGATTAAAGGTGTGCACCACCTGGGCTGGAGAGATGGTTCAGAAGTAAGAGCACTATCTGCTCTTCCAAAGGTCCTGAGTTCAATTCCCAGCAACCACATGGTGGCTCACAACCTATCTGCAATGAGATCTGATGCCCTCTTCTGGCATGCAGGTGTACATTGTATACATAATAAATAAATAAGTCTTTTTAAAAAAGACAAAGGTGTGCACCACCCCAGCCCAGCTAACTCAACTATAGTTTTTGCTGATGTGAAAGTAATTGATAGGAGAATAACAGGGTCATGCCTTGTAAAGAACTAAACATGGAAAATGAGAACTTTCAGTATGGAAATTAAATTTACTTAAATTTTAAAGTGCTTTCCTGACATAGTAGGCCTTGAGTTTGATTCTCTTTACACCGCACACACAAAAATCTTTTAAAGAAACTGAACAGGAATCATTGTATAAATGCCGAGATCTGTAGGGCTGTTTCACGGTATCTGTTTTTAGTAGCCTAATATAGTCTGTTACACTGAGCCACCTCCAACTCTTTGTTGAATAAATAGAAGCATTACTTGTTGCTGAAATTTTTACTTAATCATTACCTGGCAAGAACACACCTGTCGCACAAAACAATGTGTGTTTGCACTGCACAATGAGTTCTCAAGGAAAGCAAAGGTCTGAGCTATGTGGGGCTGATCCGCAAGCTTTCTTAACTCGTTTTTTGTCTTTCCCCACTCTAGCGCTTTCCAAGCCAGCACAGTGATTCAGCTGCTTCCTCTCCTGCACCTCTCTTGGGGAAGACGGGCCAAGCACAGTTGGGACATTTAGTTTTGAAACCAAAGCAGCCTTGGCCTGCCACAGGATGGCCAGTCATGAACCTCACCTGGATTCATAGCACTCCAATTTGTAACCCTCCCCTCAGTTCCCAAGGCTCCACCTCTAGCCACAGTCCCGGAGGCACTGGAGCCAGCATTGGTGTCATCCTTGTCCTCCAGAAAGGAGGAAAACCCATCACCCGATCTGCCCCAGGCACTCCAATCCCACAGCCTCCTGTCATCCCTGGTGATCTGAAGAAGCTGTCTGGAGAGGGGCCTCGCTGCCACAGTTGGCCAGTAACGCTGCCATCAGACTGGAGTTGCTCCCTCCGTTCCTCTGGTCTACCTACCACAGACAGAGAGATGACTGAAGGACACCCAGAGCCACAGATGATCAGCCTTTCTCCAGCTGCTCCTGATCCTTAGCTCTTAACCCAGGTTTTGCAATTGTCCCAAGTCCCAGTTTGTATAAATATGTTTATGGTTTTTTTTTTTTTTTTTTTTTTTTACTTTTAATGTATTTGTGGTGAGGAAAAGTAAACCCTTTCTGATTAAAGACATTTTTTTTTACCTAAACACTTTTCTGACTATTGTGAATTGACAGCTTTGAGCCTCAAATACACCGTAAATCTTACTGAGCCTCTGAAAAGAAGCTAGAACGCGGGCTCCACAAGGTAGGTTCTGGACGGGACCACACAAACCTGTGTGGGGCATCGCAGCTGCCGCTTTCCTAGGGACCAGCCTTGAGCTTTTATAGGTGCAGAGCCGACGTGTTTCTGGGTTTTTCTGTTCACACTAGAAACTAGTACCTGTCCCTTTGTGTCTCCATGTGGAATCTTCCAGCTGGGCAGACAAGCAGGTTCTTCTAATCTGGCACAGCTTGGCATTGGTGGCTCACTGTTGATGCTCGGGGGTAAATGCACATGTAAGCTGCTGCCTCCAGAAGAGGGAAAACCAAACAGCCACTGCGGTGCCAGTTTTGAAGAGGGCATAGTGTCCCAGGATGGTGGAGGTCAGGTTAGGGGTACTCAGCCTCTGGGCCATATCCCTACTCAAATAGCTGTACCTGCTCAATGTATGCCAGGCTAAGGAAAGTGACTCAACAGTTACTGACTCAAGACCGTGAATGGATCTCCACCCTTCTCTCTTTCTGCTTTGTCCCAGTTTCTACCAAAACCATTGCCTCTCATCCTCAGCCTTCCCAGAGCATCAGATAATTCTGTCATCTTAGTCATTGCTTCTTAGCTGCTCGGCATGCTTCTCAGACAGCTTTTGCCCATTCCTCAAGCCCAGTGCTCTGGTAAATAAATCACCTCCCTTTCAGAAAATATGACCTCCTTTCTGAGGCAAACCTTTATTTGGGTAGCTCAGGCTGGCCTGGAAATCAAGATGATCCTGGTGCCCCAAGAATTACAGATGTGAAAAACCACTCTTAGCTCCATTCCTGATTTTGATGGAGATATATATACACACACATATATACATACATATGTAGATTTTTTCCTTTTATGAGACAGGTTCTTATTATGTAGCCCTAATTGGCCTAGAACTTGCTACACAGACCAGGCCTGCTTCTGCCTCCTAAATACTGGGGTTAAGGTGAACCACCATGCCTAGCTCATTTTATTTTTTAAGATGTGTTTTATTCCTGTATGGATTCCCAGGAACTGAAGTTATAGATGTTTGTGGGCCACCATGTAGTTGCTGGGACCAAACTCAGGTTCTCTGCAAGAACAGCAAGCACCTCTCCAGCTCTTTGGATTGCTGTCTATTTGTGAAACTTTATAACTTACATTTGCTACCCATAATAATTACTTCCCATGCTATCAAGTTATTGGCTTACTGGAAATACTCTTCAGCCTAAATATCCTCTTTCTCCTCTCCACTCCAGTCTCCTCCAACACACTCTCACTCACACTATGGCCTGAACTTTGGTCCCCATGCATGCTAGGCAAGTGTTCTACCACAATTCCTCAGAATGCTTTAACCACATGACCACTGTACCTGTTTGCAGCACAGCTCACACTGCTTTTGTTCTGTTACACCTTCCAGAGTAACTAATGCGCCCACAGACTCAGCACTACAGTATTTATAACATGCCTTCCACCAATCCAGTGAACCCAGGAGCCGACACAAAGGCTGTGTGTTGTATCACTTGACACTCAATGCTGTCTTCTGAGACTTTCCTACCTTAGATCCTGTGACTGCACACAGTCCCAACTCTCCTCTTACCCAACTTGGCAGCACTTTCTAGGTTTCTTAATGGCCCCATTTCCACCCACCCCAGAGTGGGTGTTCTCCGAGGCGCTAGTCTTGGCTTCTCTCTACATAGATTCAACTATGTTAACTTTGCATTTTTTTATTGCCTTTATTATTTCCTCAAAGTAGATACATGCTAAATCTTCTGCCATAAGAAGTCACACTGAATGTATGCATTTCTGTGGGTAGTTTTATTTATATACTGCTTATTAAAAAAAAAAATACTGAAGGGGCTGGCAAAAAAGGCCCTTGTAGGCCAGATTCCTCTGGGAAGAACCATCTCCCACAAGCTGTCCTCTGAACATGCACCATGTAGGCAGACACACACACACACACACACACACACTCACACACACACACACACTAGTTTTTGTTGTTGGGTTTTTTGTTTGTTTTCTTTTTTTTTTTTAAGATTTATTTGCTATGCAGTGTTCTGCCTGCATGTATGTCTGCTCACCAGAAGAGGGCACCAGATCTCATTATAGAGAGTGGTTGTAGCCATCCTGTGGTAGCTGGGAATTGAACTCGGAACCTTTGGAAGAACAGCCAATGTTCTTAATCTCTGAGCCATCTCTCCAGCCCTGTTGGTTGGTTTTTTCAAGACAAGGTTTCTCTGTGTAGCCTTGGCTGTCCTGGACTCACTCTGTGGACCAGGCTGGCCTCAAGTGCTGGAATTAAAGGCGTGAGCCACATGGTTTGTTGTTGTTTTGTAACCATTGAGGGCTAGAGAGATGGCTTAACAGTCAAAACCACCTACTGCTCTTGCAGAGGACCAAGGTTCAGTTCCCAGCGCCCACATGGTGGCTCACAACCCTTTGTAATTCTAGTTGCAGGGCATTTGATGTCCTCTTCTGACCTCCTCGGGCGCCAGGCAGACCTATGGTCCACACCCATGTAGGCAAAACACTCATACACATTTTTTTAAAATCTAGATGCTTTTAATTAATTAGAAGTTTAGTAAATGCTGGCATTTAAGGCTGGGGAGGTAGTCCAAACAGCGCTAGCTACTTGTACACAAAGCCATGGGTACATGTGCCTGTAACCTCAGCCCTCGGGAGCTGAGGCTGGAGGATCAGTCGTCGAAAGTCATCCTCAGCTACAAATCTTCTTCCAAACCAACCTGGATGCTATTTTAAAAAGCATGTTAGTGGCACTGGAGAGATGGCTAGGCAGGTAAGGGCGGTCGCTGTCTAATCGTAAGGACTAGAGTTAGGATCCCAGAAACCATTAATAAGCCAGGCGAGGGCATCCCACAAACAGCTAAACACCTCTGAGGAATCTGATGCCCTCTTCTGGCACCACCTGCACATGAACATGCAGATGGACGTACATCTGGGCATTCATTCACCCATGGGCATACACACACACACACAATCTTTAAAGTAAAAGCCTGGTTAGACAGCTCAGTAGGGAAAGGCCTCTGCCACCAGTAAGCCTGATGGCCAGAGTTCCAACCATGGGACCCACCTGGTAGAAGGAGGTAAACCATTCTGGCAAGTCGTCCTCTGACCTCCACACATGCGCTGTGACACATGCACATAAGCTTTTGTGTGTGAGCTCTCATGCATGTACGCGCACACACACACAAATTATTTTCCTCTTCTGTTAGTGAAAGATTTTTTTTTTTAAAGATTTATTTATTTCATGTATATGAGTGTTCTATCTGCATTTACACCTGCCAGAAGAGGGAATCAGTTCACATTATAGATGGTTGTGAGCCACCATGTGGTTGCTGGGAATTGAACTCATGACCTTTGGAAGAGCAGACAGTGCTCTTAACCACTGAGCCACCCCTCCAGCCCCTAGTGAAAGATATGATGCCAACACTTTTTTTTTAGATAACTAAGCTTAAAACTTAGGCACTGAGGTTGGGCAGAAGACTCAGAGGTTAGTAGTACTGGCAGCTCTTCCCGAGGACCCAGATTAGATTCCCAGCACCCACAATGCCTCACATCTGTAAATCCAGACCTAGTGGATCTGATGGCCCCTTCTGGCCTCCCTGGACACCAGACATGCATGTAGGCAAAACACCCATACATATTAAATTTTTTTCTTTTTAATCCTGTAAAACAATAACAACAACAAAGGCTGTGGGAGAGTTGGCTCAACAGTTAATAGTGCTTGTAAGACCCATGTTCAATTCCCAGCATGCACAAGTAGCTCCCAACTGTCTGTAACTCCAAGCCCAAGGGATTCAAATGTCCTGTTTTGCTCTCCATGGACACGAAGCCCATACACGGTACACAACATACATGTAGGCAAAATACTCATACACATATAATAAAATAACCCTTGAAAAATTAACAAAGCACCTTTATATTTTATCCCATTTGGACTCTTATGATAAATTTTGTGAGATCAACAAAGTGAAGATTAATTAGTGCCATTTTACAAATAAGGAACCAGACTGAGAGCTCATGCCTAACAAGATCTAGACCATAAATATTTGTAATACATCCCCATTTCTTCCACCCAAGCGTACCAATATAGCCCCAAATAATCATAAACAATCAACAAATAAACACGTTAGTATTCCAGTATTTTTATTTAGACAAAAAGTGCAGACTCCTAGTTTGAGTAACTCACGCATAGGCACACACTTGACTCTTAGACCCTGACTAGGACCTGGAACTCCTTCCTACCGTATTATACTGCTGGCCATATAACTAATTTTGCACTTATTATATGCTTCCCGGTCTAAATTGGTGTCTACATACTGTCTTTCAGTAGTTCAAGAGACACTGGGATGGTATCAGCAGGGCCTGGCAGAAGACAGGCATTCAGTGCAGCTGGTTGATGAGCATGCTGGTCCCAATCCAGCTGCGGTTTGGTACCGTGGATCTGGCTCACCACGAGGTCAACTTAAAGTCTTAGGTGAGTACCTTTTGACTGATGATGTTCTGGAGAGACAGCTCAGCAGTGAAGAACATTTACTGTTCTTGTGGAGGCCCTGGATCCAGTTCCTAATATCCACATGGCTGCTCACAACCACCTTTAACTCCAATTCCAACACGGCTCCTACACTTCTCGGGCTCCTGCACGCACGTGGTGCGCACGCAGAGAATAAAAACACGTCTTTTAAGGAGATATCACATGAGGTGTAAATAAACATACACGGGTACGTGGGTATACCATTTACGTAAACCGTGAGAAAGTGTGGAAGAAATAAAAGAGAGACATTTCTACCAGGTCTAACTAGGCAACAAATGGCAAGGCTGGCATTTAAAACAAAACAAAACGGTTTGATTTTAAATTCTGCAGGCGTTTCCCATTTCTTTCTTTAGTGACTCTACTTTATTTAATGAAACGGCTTAGGCAGGTAACGCAATGGGAAACTCACAGTATGTAATTTCTTTTCTTAACTTTTGGGCAGATGAAGGGTGTGGAGCTGTTTTTCTCCCGGCGAGCAGATCTGTCCTTTTTTTAAATGAAAAAATATTCTCAGGACGCTTCCCATTTCCCATCCAGAAAACCGCAGCTGCTCAGATCTAGGAAAGGCTTAACAGGATTAGAGCCACGGATCGGGCTGACCTCGCTGACCCACGGACCGCGACTCCACAGGAAGGCGAGGACGCTGTTTCTTTGACGGTCGGGCGTAGCGAACCTCCACAAGGACAGGCAGTCCGCGAGGCTCCGCGGCGTCTGCGCTGCAGCGCAGCTTCCTCCCGCCACGGGATTTCGTGCTTCCGCTTCCGGTGCGGAGGTCCCGGAGTCCGAGTGCTGAGACCACCAGGTCGGGAGATCGCGGGTTGAGGCCCCTGCGCCGCGGAGAGTGTGGGGCGGGAGGGCAGGACTTCGCGGGCCGGCCTGGTCTCTAGAGACGGACGAAGAGTCCTTTCCAATTCGCAGCGAAAACCTTTTTGTTTGTTTGTTTGTTTGTTTGTTTCGATTTTCGAGACAGCCCTGGCTGTCCTGGAACTCTGTAGACCAGGCTGAACACAGAGACCCGTCTGCCGAGGTGTGCGCCACCGGCGCCCGGCTGTTTATCTATTTGTTTATTTTATTTTATTTTTTTTTGATGCGGCCCGGGGTGAGAGGTTGAGAGTCTGTCCCAGCCTTCCTCCATAGGGTTCCAGGGCTCGAACCCAGATCGTCAGGCTTGGCAGCAAGTGCTTTTACTTGCTGAGCCATCCCGCCGCGCTGTGAAAGGAATGCTGATAACAATTCGCTTGTCTTTTTCTTCTTAAAGTTATTTACATTTAATGTGTAAGAGTGTTTTGCTTGCATGTATGTCTGTGCATCCTAGAGGCCAGAAGAGGGCCTTGGATCTCCTGGGACTGGAGTTACGGATGGTTGCGAGCCTCTCAGTGGTTGCTGGGAATCGCCCTGGATTCTCTTAACTGCTGAGCCATCTCTCTAGTCCTACTTGTACTTTTTTTTTAAGATACAAAGAATTCCTCCTGCCAGATTCTATGTCTCCTGGTTCAATTTCTAGACTGAAGAAAACTGCTTGTGGTGATGTGTGACAGCTGGGCTTTGTTTTCTTACGTTGGTTCTCCGATTTCCATGCTCCTTGTCCGTTTTATAGGTCGTGGAGAATGAAGATCTGACGACGAGGCCATGGCTAACCATCTGAAGTTCATTGCCAGGACTGTGATGGTTCAGGAGGGGAATGTGGAAGGTGCATACAGGACCCTGAGCAGGTAAAAAGAGCCCGAGTCTTGTCTAGACCAGCTGTGGCAAATGTAAGTGAGTCTCCACCCAGCCTACCCCCTCATAAACTGTTCTCACAGTGGTGTCAGCCCAATGTTCAGGCTATGGACACTTTAGCCCCTCAATTTATTATTGTAAAAATGAAGTTCTCCTCCAAGTCCAACTTGATGGAACTTATCCAGCAAGCAGCTGTCATCCCTTGAGGAACCTGAGTTCTATCCAAGGTTTTGGAAAGAGCCCATAAGTCTGTGCCTGCTTGTGCACATGTGAAATCTCGGCACCAGGGAGGTGGAGGCAGGAAGACTGAGAACAGTGTAGACAACACTGACTAGACTCTATCTAGTTGACCCCTCCCGATATGAAGAAAGAAAGAAGAAAGAGAGCTGGAAGGAACATGAACAAGAAGCAGAGGCATAGTGCATGAAACATAGCTGAGACCATTTCTGTGGAATAAGGCGACTGGAGATTAATTCCCTTGTGATTTTATCTCATGTAGCTCAGGCTGGCCTAGAGTGGGCAGTATAGCCCAGTGCTCTCTGTGAGTTCATAGTCACCTTGGTCTAGATAGTGAGGTCTACGACAGTCTCAACAAAAGGAACAAAAATGTTTATTATATATGTGTATGTCTGCCTGTGCCATGTGTGTTGGGGTGCCCCGGAGGAGAGTGGGATCCCCCGGAGCTGGACTGCAGCTCAGTTGGTACAGTGCTTGCTTAGCATGCTTGAGGCTTTGGGCTTCCCCAGTGCTGTATAAACTGGGTGTGGTGACACACCCTTATAATTCCAGCAGTTACCAAGTGGTGGTGGTAGGATCAGAAGTTCAAGGTTGTCGTTAGCACTGTTGCAGATTTGAGGCCCTTGGGAGGTGGGGGGAGTTCACACAGGGAGCGGCTCTCAAGCCTGGTGACCTGAACCTGCACCTCTACAAATTCTCTGCAGCATGTGTGCACACACTAAATGTAATAAATGAAAGACTAACGGAAAAGACAATCTTCCCTTGTTCTAGGTACAAGTCAGTAGTTCATGAGGGAAAAAAGAAAGAAATGGCAGAAAGTAGAGGTTGGAGACCTGACTAAGAACACTGGTTGCTCTTCTGGAGGACCTGGGTTCAATTCTCAGAGCCTACGTAGCAGCTCACAACATTCTGTAACTCCAGTTCCAGGGCAGCTGACACCATCTTCTGAGCTCCATGGGGCCAGGCACATGCCATGTGCACAGACATGCATGCAGGCAAACACGTATATACATGAAACAATAAAATAAGAGTCTTAAGAGTAGATGCTCTGTGGAGATCTCCTACCACCTGACCTGCTATTATTTTAGATCTTGTTCAAAGGGATTTGGTTTTGTTTTTTATTGTTGTTTGTGGGGTTTTTTTTTGTTTGTTTGTTTGTTTGTTTGTTTTTGTCTTATGTAGCCCAGGCTGGCCTCAAGTTTATCTTATAGCCAAGAATAACCTTAAGTTCCTTGCCCCCATCTCCTTTGTCTGTGGTTACAGGCCTACACTCTGTTTCTCTCTGTCTCTCTCCACTCTATGAAGTTCTGGAGTTGAAACCCAGGGCTCCATATATGCTAGAGAAGCACTCTATCAATTTTAAGCTGCATCCCCAGCCTAAAAAAAAAAATATTTCCTTTAAAAAATATAAATAAGTACAAAGCCCTTGGGAGCGGTGATAGACACCTACAGTCCCTGCCATGGAGAAGCTAAGGCAGGAGGATCTCAAGCTTGAGCCATACAGACCCTGTCTCAAAAAAGAATAAGGATATAAGTACTTTTTTTTTCACTTCAGTTATTAAAACACAAAGGAAATTATAAGTTTGGGTGGGGGAGACTCAATTTATATTATCTAAAAAGGAAAGGTTTGCTCTGAGGACGTAGCTCACTTGGTGGAAAGGCACCTGGCCAGCTACACCACAGGAGACCCCAAATGGTGTCTTGTGCCTGTAACTCACAGAAGGACCAAGTTATCCTTTGCTACACAGCGATCTTTGGGCCAACCTGGGCCATGTGAGACTACCAGACAGAAAGATTCCTTGGAACCAGGAAGACTTTGTAGTGAGAATGTGGTTTCTTTAAAACCCCAGTTATTTTGTGTGAATGTTTCGGTCTTAATCCAGGTGGGGAATACGGGCTGCTTCAGAGCAGCTGACTGTGATTTACCTCATGCTCTTATGCAGGAGCATGGTTTTACCAACTGCAGATAGTTTCTGCAAGTGCATGATGCTTGAGATTCTGGAGACTTTCAGAGGGCATAAATGCCAAAGCCCGGAGAGAGGCCAGGGCGCTCTGAAGAGAGGCTGCTGCTGTTGCCATTGTCAGCTGGTTGCAGTTTGTCAAGGTTTCTCAAATACTGTCCAAAGAGATGAAAAAATTGAATATCCTGATGGCATAGGTCAAACTTTTCCCAAGGAAACTGAAGCCCTTGATCAGCAGGAAGTAGTCTAAAGAGGTTTATACCCCTTTCCCCTCTAACCTTCTTTCTCGCTTACCTAGTGTTGGGGAGTTGAAAGGGATTGGGGTGGGGAAGGGTGGTAAATATAGGAACCCAATAAAATAGCCAAAAGGCCTACTCGAAAGAATTCATTTAAACAGCAGAAATGTTGGACTCTGGACTCTGAACCTGAGGTTGAATCTCTTTTGGACTTCCGTATGAACTCAAAACTGTGGTCTGGAAAACAGTTCGGGGAATGTAATTAGCAGTTTAAATCTTCGGGAAGCTGCATTTTAAAAATAGCCTGGTTAGGGTGGCTCATGTTTGTAATTGCAGCCAGCACAGAAGGCTGAGGCAGGAGAATCAGGAATTCAGGGTTTCCTTGTCTGCAAGTCAGAGCCAGCCTGAGATATTTATGACTGTGTCTCACAAACAAACAAATGAAGACTACATTTTTTATATAAAAAGATAATTTGCAAAGAAGAAAGCTGCATTTCTATTCTTTTTTTAAAATCTTGGAGTATAATGGAAATGTCTCATAAATTGTATCCTAGCCTAGCAGGGAAGCGCAAAGCCATTCTGTGCTCCTAGGGTACTTTTCTTGGTACTTTTCTAGACAAGAACTTGTAAGCCTGGCGTGCCTACTGCTTGCCAGCTAAATGCAGTCTTTCCTGACTTAGCTCCTCATTCATTTCCTTTTCCCCACTGTTCCCTAATGTCGTCCCCTTCGGTCACCTGTGCCACTACCTATCTCACCCCAGTCCTCTTATCACTCAGCTTTCGGATGGTTGTGGTTTAAAAATAAGTTGCTTATTCTGCGATCTGATTACAGCAGCAGTGCAAGTGAGAGGAGAGAGACGAGGTTGAAGGTTTACGATGTTCGGAGCACTGAAGGGAGCTTACGCAGAAAAAGCCGAAGCTTCTGCCCTGGGAGACTGCCACAGAATGCCTGTTATATAATGCTTGTTAGATTCCAGAGCCCTCACTGGAGCCCTGAAATGAGGATATGGAGAGTGGGGGTTGCTAGGAAGCCTTGTGTGATTGGCTGGCCCCCAAACTAGGAGAGACAAGCACACTGGAAGCATGCCCGGCTGACCCCTTTTACTCCTGATGGGCCGGCTCCTGGGCTCATCGAGTCCTGCATACACAGTGGCTGGCGCAGGCTGGCTGCGCTGACATGTGGGGCTGCAGCCCCCAGGTTCCCGTGGTGAGCAGCTCGGCTCCTTTTACATAATCAGTTGAATTTTACTAAAACTGGCAGTTGGTTTGTCCTTACTGTAAGGTTGCCAGGCACCAGAACTCCAAGCTGATCTGATTACACTAAGGTCTTCATCTGCTAGACCTTGAACAACCTTTGCAAACAGAGGTAACACTAGTAACACCTTCCCCAAAGTGTTACACTAAGTTGTATCCTCAGCTTTACATTGCTTACCCGACCCCCACTCCTGAACTAGGAACTAGAGCCACGGTCCTTGAAGGCAAGCGCTGTACCACCAGGCCACATGCCCAGCCGGCTAGCCAGGTGTAGTTCTTGAGGTCGTTTGTGTTTATTTGGTAGGCTTTCGGGTTTTTTCTTTTGGGACAGGGTCTCATATATCCTGAGCTGGCCATGTATGACCTTTGAACTCCTGCCTCTACCTCTCAAGTGCTGGCACTGCAGGTGTGCAACCCCACGCTGGGTTATGTGATACTGGAGATCAAACCAGGGACTCCTCTACCCTCTGAGCTACATCCCCAGCCCCATAGTTCTTGAATTCTACTACAAAGCTTGACCTACACCCTTGCCTACTAGAGATGTGGAATCGGTGCTGCTGTGGTGGCATGCGCGTGTCTGCTCGTGCGTGTGTGTTCATCTGAGTGCTCTGCCTGGGCTGGAAGACACTTCAGGTGACCTTCCTCAGGCACCACCCCCCTTTTTTGTTGCTGGTTTGAACCAGAGTCTGTCTTAGTAGGCTGAGCTGTCTCTTACCTCCCCGTGGCCGGGATTACAAGTGGGTGCACCATGCCCAGCCTTTTTACATGGATTCTGGGAGTAGAACTCAGATCCTGTGTCAACCATCTTCCCAACCTAATCTGTGCTTTCAATTTTTTTTTCTTTTTTGCTCCAGTTGTTTGAGAGTCTCATTGTGTAGTCCCGGCTAGCCTGGAACTCACTCGAGGCAGTCCATCTGCCTCTGCCTCCCAAGCGCTTGGAACGCTCCATCATGCTGATCATCACTCAGTTTCGTCTCCAGCACCAAAGACAAAGGAGATGCTTAGACATTGAGATTTCTTCCTTCAGCACCTCATCTTCTTGGCTTCCATTTCTTTCCCCTGGATGAGAAGCCTCCCCCAGCTCTTCCCTCTCGTTGTCTTATTCAGTCTGTCTAGCCTGGCCCAGCCAGTGGGTGCTCTCCAGGCCAATGAGAGTTCCTATCCCAAAGACAGAACGAAGAGTACATGTACACACACACACAACTGCAAAAGTCAGCAAGGTGGATGGACCTGAGAAATAATGCCCGAGGCCGACCCCTAACCTCCACAAGCAGCGGGGGCTGGAGAGATGGCACCTGTACACTCTTGTACACACAAAGTCATGTGATTGGAGTGTCTGGGCCATGGGAAGACAGTGAGGGGGCTGGTACAATGTTCCCGTTTATGTCACTGATCTGATGAGGCCCCAGGATTGCTCACAGTTCAATTGTATCAATTTTTTTCTCTAAGCCTGGGTTTACACTTGTGAGGCAAGTGCTCTGTCACTGAGCTATGTCCCTTTTCGTTAGTTGTTTTTTTAAACAAACAGGATCTAGGTTGAGATCTTGTGCACCAGCCTCCTAAGTGCTGGGCTGACAGCCACACACCGTCAATCTCTCAGTTCTCAAATACAGAGATGAAGGGACTCTGTTCTTCATTACGGACCAAGTCAGAATTGCCCACTAAGAGTGTTTAAAATTACAAGTGGTTTGCCCCGTTTGTGGTTGTTTTTGCTTTGAGGCAAGGCCTCTCTATGTAGCCTGGTTGTCCTTCAACTCACAGAGATCCACTTGTCTCTGCTTTCCAAGCTCTAGGAGCAAAGGCGGGCGCCATGATTAGTTTCGTGTGCAACTTTATGTGTAGTTCCCCTCGGAGGCTGAAAAGCCCTGCACAGGGAGCTGCTGTTCCTTTGGCAGCCGGCATGGGCAGCTGGCATCTCCCTCAGGTGTAGTAGTCAAAAGTTTGACTATGCGCTCCCCAGGAGTAAGAACTGGTTGCTTTTCAATTTGCCTCACGGGTTCTTCCTGGAGCCCCGGGCACTGTTACTGCTTCCTACTACAGTTTTTCAAACACAAGTTACTTTTGTCCTTTGACTTCTGATGGGCTGTGAAGAACCGGTAAGACTGGTAAAGAGCAGCGGTGAGCCACAGCGGCTAATGCCATTGCCTGCCTTTCTATAGGATCCTCAGCAGCGATGGGCTCACTGAAGCCATAAAGCGCCGACGCTTTTATGAGAAACCCTGTCGCCGCCGCCAGCGGGAGAGCTATGAATCATGTCGAAGAATCTACAACATGGAAATGGCTCGAAAGATCAACTTCGTGATGCGAAAGAACCGCGCAGATCCATGGCTTGGCTGCTAATGCCTGTGGTCACATTAATCCTATGTTCAGCTCTTTTCTTTATCCAATCCCAAATTCTGTTATATTTTTCACAATAAACTCAATCACAGGTGAACAAGGCTTTCCCGTGCAGAAGCTCTCTCATTAGTCTACAGTGGAACCTTTCTTTTATTAAAAGGAAAAATAGGACTCACAAAATGCAACAGGAGGGGCTGGAGAGAGGCTCCGTGGTTAAGAGCAGTGTCAGCTCTTGCAAAGGTCCTGAGACCAATTCCCAGCGACCACAAGGTGGCTCCGTACCCTCTAATGCCCTCTTCTGGCAAGCAGGTGTACATGCAGATATAACGCTCATAAAAATAAATAAAATCTTTAAAAAAAAAAGGAACAGGAGCAGTAATATTGCTTGCCAGCCTAGGAGAAGGTCTAAATCAGAAGTCATATGTAATGGGTACACTTTGTTTCTAAAGATGTGGAAAAGTTCTAGAAACCATGGTGACAAAAACTTAGGATTGGAGCGATGAGTCAGCAGTTAGGAGTGCCTGCTGCTCTTGCAGTGGACCTTGGTTGGGTTCCAACACCTACTGAGTGGCTCACAAGGTCTCCAGTTCCAACTTCAGGTCATCTGTTGCCGCCTCTGGCCTCTGGGCACCTCAGGCATGTAGTACAGGTACTTGCAAGACACTCACAGAAAATATATACAGGTATGCGTGGCAAGAAAGGCTCCGAGTGAGGAGTAGGGGTCAGCTTCGGAACTGTGCTAGGGCCCCTGCCGTAAGTCTGACTTGGAAGGTCAGGTGCAGTAAACGGTTAATAGGGCTCTGGATGACTATAACTTCTGCTAGACTGGACCTGAACCAGAAGCTGTATGCCCTCAGCTCTTAGTTGGAGACGCCCATTGTTCACACCTTCCCATAGCAAGCATTCTGATCCCAGGAAGAACTGCACTTCTTGCCCTGCTGCCACCTGCTTCCTCCTCCAGGCAGCATCACCTCCGTGTGGGGGGAGTTGGCGCCAGCATCTGCAGAAGCGGCAGGAAAGCCAGCCATCTTCCAGCAGGGCGTTAGAGAACAGAATTTACAGTTAGGTTATCAGTGCCACCCCCTTGTGGTGTAACACATTGCATGGACTTCAAATTTCCAGCCTTCACTTTCATTTATTCATTTTTTGAGTTAGGGTCTTAGGTAGCCCAGGCTGGCCTGACTTGCAATCCACCTGCCTTACCCTCTCCATTTGAGGTTACAGGCTTGTCCCTTCTCTGATGGCTAACGCTGTTGAGTCCTTTTGTGAATTCCTTACGATTCCTCCTTTGAAGAGGCATTCAAGTCTTGGGCCACTCTGAACTCTGTGATTGCTGCTGAGCTGGGAGTTGGTATTCTCTTGACAGGGTCTCTGATTAAATGCCAGATGCAGATGCTGCCTCCCGGATTGTCCTTATTCTGTTAACAGTTTTGATGTTTGTTGTGATGACCTCAGCTGGCTTGGGACTTGCCATCGTCCTGTCTCAGCCTCTCAAGGGCTAGGATTACTGCCATCTGCCACCATGCCCAGCCAAAAGACAAGTTTTCCATATTCATCAAGTCCAGTCCAGTTTGCTTAGTTGCCCTTGTTTTGGTCTCACATCCAAGCATCCAGTATCATGAATACTAACCCTGCTAAGAGTTTGTGTGTGTGCGTGTGTCTGTTTAAGACAGGGTTTCTTGGGGGCTGGAGAGACGGCTCAGTGGTTAAGAGCACCGTCTGCTCTTTCAAATGGACCTAGGTTCAAATCCCAGCACCCACTTGGCAGCTCACGACTGTCTATAACTCCAGTTCCAAGGGATCTGACACCTTCATACTAATGCACATAAAATAAAAAAAGACAGGGTTTCTCCGTGTAGCCTTGGCTGTCCTGGAACTCACTTTGTAGACCAGGCTCAAATACAGAGATCCACCTACCTGTGTCTCCTGTGCGCTGGAATTAAAGGTATGTGCCACCAATGCCTGTTTCTTCTAAGAGTTTCATAATATTTTCCTCTTAATTTTATTATAGTTTTAAAATTTTCAGTCTTTGAATCATTCAAGTTATTGAGAATTTAACTACGTTAGTGGGGTGTTCTGGGTTTCAGGATCTCTTGTAGCCCAGGCTGCCCACAGACTCAATATGTAGTTGAAACTGGTCTTGAACTCCCATTTTTCCTGCATCCACCTCCATGTTTTCAGACAAAAACTTAAAAAAAAAAAAAAAGACACAGGGATTAACAGTATAGCCTTGGCTGTCCTGGAACTCATTATGTAGAACATCTTGACCTGGAAATAAGAGATCTGTCTGCCTCTGCCTCTCAAGTACTGGGATGAAAAGCCTGAGCCAACATGCCCAGCCTTCTTTCAGTGCTTTTTACGGGAAATGTTATTAGAGGAACCGATTTTCAGTATTTAACCAGGAGTTTAAAGTAAGTCCCCTAGTTACTGCCTGTAATTCCTCCATATATTTTTTTTCTGAATTGTTTCCTCCATTAGGAAATGACAAAAGAAGTCTGGCACAGTGGCACACAACTACTTAAGTCCCAACTACTTAAGCCAAAGAATGAGGATCACTTGAGTCCAGGAATTCAAAGACGAAGACCCTTTCCAAAAGAAGGGAGGGGGAAATGGGAATCTCTTCTATGTGAGACCCTGTCCCAAAATAAACATAACAGTATCAGGAAGCTGGGTATTCATGAGCATAAGAGTTTAAAGCTGGGCATGGCGATACGTGCTGGAGAACACCGGAAATAATTTCTCTTAACTACATTTTGATGTCCCTTATCTAACCTCTATCAACTCACCCCACCTTTCCCAGAGGAATCACCATTCTTTAAATCAAAATTTCGTATTACATTTTATTTGGGGGCGGTGTAGTGGGCCACACGCCACGGTAAACAACTATTCAGAACTTAATTGTGTCATTGTTACTGTAAGTAGAAGCAGTAAATCCAAGTAGATGATATTATATGTACAGAAAAAAAAAAAGAAAGAAAGAAAGAAAGGAAACTAGGAATCAAGAGTGTGAAATATCCTAATTAAATAGGGTGGCCAGAAAGGTTTCCCTAGAACCAATTTGAACACAAACACGAAAGACCACTTTGAGCTCCCGCCGCGCATGCGCTTCGCCGCGGCCGGCACCCTGGTACCGCGGCTGCGCGGCCGAGTCCCCGCCTTCCGCGGTCACGTGCCGCAGGGGCCGCAGCGTGGCGGCGGCTGTGGCGGTAGCGACGGCGGGCCGTAGGGCGACCGGAAGGTTTCCGGTTCCGGTGTAACGTTCGGGCTCCGTCTCAGGGGCTGAAGTTTGTGAGGTGAGTAGCGGCCCCGCGCCCGGAGAGGACAGCCCACGGTCCGAGCGGCTGCCCAGGGCCCAGTCCCGCGGGAGGAGCGGACGGGAGCGCTCGGCGGGAAGCTGGCCGCGCGGAGCGCCGGCTCCTGGCGGGGGAAGGCGTCCCAATGGGCTTGCTGGAGAAGGGCGGGGGCGGGAAGGAGCAGGGTGGGCAGAGCCGCTCTGAGGTGAGGAGTTAGGTCGGACTTGGCGGCGCGGGGGCCACTTGGAAGGACAGTGAAGATGGGAGCGTGGGGGGCGGCAGGGGCTTGGAGCTGAGAGGAGGAAGGAATTCCTTCGCAAGATGGGATTCTGCTGCCTGCCCATGCAGAGGAGCGCTCTGCTTCCCTCTCCTTTGCCTCCAACCCCCCACCGACGCTGACGCCTTCTCGCCGTTACGGTTGGACATTTGGTTAGTGGCAACTCCAGTGACTGAAACTTTCTTCTCCATTGACTGTTCTGTTTGCACATCTCTGGAGAATGGGGTCGAATTTAAAGACACCCATCTGTTAGTATAGTGCTTGGGCTCATATCCCGTCTGCTAACATGCTTCACCTATTTGGATTTTGCAAATCGCTTACACTTTTTAGCCTGTTCAATTGTAGTGGGTTGTAAGTCTCATTAACCTGAGGGTTCTTCACTGTGAACAAGTTTTGTTCACTGCCGTGTGTTTCCCTACATGCAGTAAGTGGCCGGCTTCACAGGTTATGGTTACCTGATTGAATGGAGGGCTCTGTCAAGTGTTCCCGTTTTCCAAGATGAGTAAACTGAAGCTCTGGAGAATTAACTTGCTAAGGGCTTATAAGTGGTGGTTCTTTCTATACTGTCCAATGAGCTTTTTTTCTCTACTCTTGTTAGTGCCCATGTTTGCTTTTTTTTTTTTTTTTTTGATTGACAGTATACTGCTATCTCATGATGGCCCAAAAGAGCCATAAGGATTATTCATAAAACTTGTCACTGAGGCATATCCTTCCAACTACATTACTACATTCAGATATATCAAAGTTAATACTGCATGGTGACAGATCTTATGAGAGGTGAATCTGACAAGAATGTAGATGCTAATTGGATGACATCTTTATGTTTTATGATAAGATCTCCTGTAGCCACGGGTGACTTTGGACTCTGTAACCAAGGGTGAACTTGAACTCCTCATTCTCCCTTGTGCTGGGATTACAGGCTTGTATGACCACGCAGAGGCTTTATCTTTTAGATGTCTTAACACATCTTGAACGAGTAATTCCCAGGTTATGGTATGATGTTTGGCAGTGCTAGGAGGTCGCTGGGAAGTTGAGGCCAGTGCAGTTCTCTGATTGTCACACAGCCATTAGGAAGAAAATCAGAAATGATGTTTTTCTCTATGCTTGTGAGGATGTTTGAGATTTAAGATTTACATTTTAGCCAAATGTAAGCATAAATAGTGTTGAAATTTTATACCAGATTGCATTAAGTTAAAAAAAAATGTTGTGGAGAGTTTGGAGCTAATAAATAATAAAAGTGAGAAGGGGGAGAATTGAAAATGTGGATAGTCTTTTTTTTGAGCTTAGGGTTTATTCTCATTAAGTCAGCTGACAAATTCTATAGAGTATGGTATTGAGTTACTGGTGAATAGAATGCTCACCCTCATGAACAAAACTATAGAGAAATGTGACAGCGTTCTTAAGGATTATGAGACTTAACACAGGAAGACTGACTTGAATAAACCCTCTTATTTGCATCCCTTAGAAAAGTCTTAGGTCAAAGCTGGGCTAGAGCATTCCATCCAGAAGTAGAAGGAATAGTAAAGTTGACT